ATAGTCAAAAGTCAAACCTTAGTAAAAGTTACAAAGATAAGAAGTTGTGGAACGCCGTGATCAACCACCTTCTGAAGGGATAGAAAAATATAGAAGAGGAAGAATAAAACGAGAATTTGCCAGCAAAGACTACAGCGCGTGTTTAGATCAAAGATTATGTAAAAGAACAAACGTACAAATCTTCAGATAGGATTTCATATATTTCAATAAATAACATAGCGACGCATTACTGTAAGTGGATGGGGAATGTTGCTTGTTAAAGTATCCAAGTAGAAGAGGAGACCACAGAAGTGCTGTGGTTCAACTACCGACGCTATATTGCTGCTAAGAGTCTCTGATTCCATGATTGGTTTACTTTCATTATAATTCAAGTAGCCAAGCAGAGCATGATACGTTTCTGTCATCCTCAAAGAGTTTTTCTAATGGAAACGTCAGGCGACACTTTTTCTTCTTAGAAGGCGCGGGGAACTTAGGACATTTCGACAAATTCATTCAATTGATTCATTCTTTTTTTTAAAGCCAGAATTTCTTGTGTCACTATTTTTAAATATTATTTTTTCGAACGAATAAAACTGTTTGAACCTAATTCTTAAATAAAGTCCTATTCCTAATATAACATTTATATAAACATCTCAGGTTCATATTATAACCACATAAAAACAAACCTTTTCAGAAAATGGTAGATTCTAGCCCACCACAACTTCCTGTCGTTAGTTGCGTTTAGTAACTTTTTAAACTCTTTAACATACCATTTTTGTCTTTGTTCTGCTATACATTCACGCAGATTTATTAAGTAGGTTACTTTCTCTGTTTCTCTTACCTTCAATATGTCTTGTGAGTGTTAAATTTCCTAGGCGCTCTTTCTTCATTATGTGTCCTATCCATCTTTGGTTCTGCCTTGCCGAGCAGTGAAATAGGTTTATTATTTTCTTGTATCGGTGTTCAAGCCCAAATAAAAGAAACGACTTTGTACGCTTATTTTCAAAGAAAGTAGGTTTTCTCATTTTGAAAGATAGACACAACAAAATGTTCCTAGCCGATCTATTGCGTTGAATTTAGATCAGCCTAAAGTGAAAGTGTGCCTTCATCACTAAGAATTCTTCGGATTTTCACCTGTCTATTTGCGACGCTAAACTTAACTTCGTCTGACAAAGAGTTTCACTGTTGAATCAGTTTATGAGAATCGAACTCAGAACTCTATCGAATTGTTTTACAATAAGCTCTTTTCTGATTGTAAGAATAGGTTGATTTGTATTTCTGATTTCCTTCCTCGTTGTTCATATATCGTCAATGGTATTATGATTATTCGTTGGAACACACGTCTCTGTCGTTTCAACTTTTTTTTATTTCTTAGAAAATGGTATGAACCTTTAAAATTATTTTATGAATTCTGTTATTGATGGCAATTTTATGCTTAATAGAATTGCTTTTGTGTTTTCTTGCTTGACATTACATAAAATACTTCTCTAATTCCATACGTTTTTGAAAGACATCATATATATATATATATATATATATATATATATTAAGAAATGGACAAGGTCCGACAATTTATTCATTAAAGACATTTTTATGTTTAACGTTGTTTTTTATATAGATACAAGTATTTAAGTAAATGCCCTGTTTATGATAAACAGTATTAAATAACATTTACCGGCCTGAATGTCCTAAATTTTCATAGAAAATATTCGTTCTTTGACAGGATTCGAACCACGCATCCTATAAATGACCGTCATTTATGCAGGTTCGAATCTTAAAGAACGATTCTTTGTGAAAAATCGGTAACATTCACGTCAATACTGTTTATCATAAACAGAGCATTTACTTAAATACTTGTATCTATATAAAAACAAAAACAACGTTAAACATAAAAATATATATATATATATATATATATATATATATATATATATATATATATATATATATATATATATATATATATATATATATATATATATATATATATATATATATATATATATATATATATATATATATATATTATATAAAAAATTCATACAAAAAGTAGCTTAGTAAAGTTAATGATATAAAATGGCGAAATCTCTTTGTAAACAAAATTTTAAAGTTGCATTAACTTCCGAACTACTCGATGAATGTTATGATCCTTGTTTTTAATAACTACAAGTTGTATAAGTTCTTTTTTTTAATCTGCAAGTACTTTCAACTGTACATTCAGTCATCCTCAGGCATGAAAATTATTTCGTTTTTAGTAAAATCCAGGTAGCATTAAAAGACGAAAAATTAAATGTGAATCGAAATATATTTTTTTTTTGAAATGTGTTATTGTTAAAAGATAAAACTTTTTGGATCGTGCAGCCGCTTTTTTATCATTAACTTTACTTTTTGTATGAATGATTCATTGTAATATAAATTGAACTGCACCACATATTTCATATATATATATATATATATATATATATATATATATATATATATATATATATATTATATATCCATAATGTTCATCATCATTAACATAATCATTGTTTTCCTACAAGTTGTAGCTTAATAATGCCATCTTTTTAATTTTCATCCTTATCATTATATCAGTGTTTATGTTGAAAATATTGGTCCCTTTTCCTAATCTTTACTCGTTTGTTATTCTTTTGTAGTTGCGTTCTCATGCATAGCTCATAATTTCTGACTAGTACTTTCCCAAAGGTCATGGAATAACTGAAGTGTCGTAAGTTTGATCAAAACGATTTGGAGATCTTTTAGCCCCTAGGTAATTTTATCTTATATTTTATAATATCCATCAGGTGAAGAAGACGAAAAAAAATGGTAAAACAAATAAAATCGGCCGCTAGAAAAGCCAAAAGGAGAAGAATATAATCTCCGCCATATTTTTTTTTCTCTTGACTTTTTCTTTCTTTTTTTTCTTCTGTCACGAACGAACGAGGAAAAAAAGAAAAAAAAAAAAAGGAAAAGGAAAAGACAAGGAAAGAAAAGAAGACATGAAAAACAAACTGGGAGTGAAGGACAAAATTAAAATATACACGAAGAAAGTCGGCGGCTCAACTCCGAAATTTTTCCCAGTTGTGCCCGAAAAAATAATCGTGACAAATAGATTGGACCGCGCATGCGCTGTCTTGATAACTCCGTTGCCAGGGTCTTCGTTATTGATTTTGATCTCGTCTTCAGAAATTAGTCACCCTCGGGAAAAAAGTATGTTTTATTTTCTACTGAGATAAATGAGAAATGTTCATTGTGACGTTGATCTTTTATTTCCCTGTGTACATTTTGCGCTCAGTAATAAAAAAAGGTTTGGCAACACACATACACACCCACACACACACACTGTAATATATATGAGAATACGTCTATTTGCATAGCTATATTAGGCATTGCATGATATACATTAGGTGGTGCAAAAATTTCCAGCAAAACCAGGCTTAGGACCATATCAAGTTAAAACACCGGTTCTCATATGATCAGCAAAGTTAAGCAAAGTCGAGCTTGTTCAGTGCCAAGTTGGGTCACGGTTTGAGAATGCCAGGAACGGTAAGCTTAGATATTCAGGTGGTTTAATGGATAACAACTCGTTATATTTACTTGCGCGCAAATATCATTGGGAAAGGTGTGAATCAATCTGTTTCCCCTAAGCTATGGGTTAAGTAGTAGGATTTGTATCAGTAAATCATTATTATCTCTCCACCAAATTCTTAAAATATAAAAATATTTTCTAACTTTAAATAACCAGCAAAAGCTTGATAAGCCGCAAATGAATCCAGCAAAATCCGGTTGGTAACTGTGTATTCAGTCACTAATTATCAAATTAAGGACTTTGGCGTAGCAAACAGAGACAAAAAAGTATAAAAAAGCAAGTAGCTACACACACACACACACACACACATATATATATATATATATATATATATATATGAAAATGGGTAAATGTATAGCCGAAAGCGCTCGGAAAAATAAAGCATTTGGACACGTTTTGTATAATTTATCTACTGAAAAACATTGTAAGATCATATGAGAAATTATATAAAAACTTCATCAAATCACCTTGTACATGATATTGAATGAAACTTGCAGGAAAGAAGGTCTCTACACAATATATATATATATATATATATATAAATTATATTTAAAATATGGTTATTTTCGCATAACCATGTTTCATATATATTTATATACATATATATATATATATATATATATATATATACATACGTATTTAGCGTATACTAAGAAGCGCACTGCATCAAAGTACTGAAATGTGAAGTTATAGAGAGCTGTTTGCCAAATCATACGAATCCCAGTCAGGAGATATAAGCAATCTCGAATCCCAGTCATATAATATAAACTTACACTTATCATTTACATGTAATAAATAATGTATATCATATATATATATATATATATATATATATATATATATATATATATATATATATATATATATATATATATTCTTCTGACTACCGAAAGTAAAAACACCTGACACCATTTCTGTGCACAAACGTATTGCATTTATTGTAGTCCCTGTTTTACTAAATTAAGTAATGTCATTTACTGTAATAATACAAATGGATAATCGATAATATAGTCATACAATAATAGCGGACAGTAGGAGTGACGATGCTAAAGCTACGCCCTATTTGCGATCTTGAACACAGCCGTGAAACATCAGCTAAGAGTTGGATGTAAACACGTTGTGCGATGCCTTTTGGCGTGTGGTGTACGAGTTGCTTCCGATGTGATTTGGTATAATATTGTGTTAAATTATTGAAAATATTATTAATAGTAGCCACAAACATTTAATAATGGGTCCAAAATGTAATAATTTGTGACAGAAAGAAAAAAAGGAACCGGAGAGTCGGCGACTTGAATTTGCTATACTGTAAGCTATTAAATCCACACATATTTGTTTCCCCAAAACGACCCAACTAATCATAGGGTATGTTTTACCACTTTTAGATTCTTAGCACACGGGAGATACTATCTATGTATCTTTCTATTTATCTCAGTCTGTTCATATCTATCTATCTATCTATCTATCTATCTATCTATCTATCTATCTATCTATCTCAGCCTGTTCATATCTATCTATCTATCTATCTATCTATCTATCTATCTATCTATCTATCTATCTAGCCTGTTCATATCTATCTATCTCCTATCTGTCTATCTATCTATCTCTCAGCCTGTTCTATCTATCTATCTATCTATCTATCTATCTATCTATCCTCTTCTATCTATCTATCTATCTATCTATCTATCTATCTATCTATCTATCTATCTATCTATCTATCTATCTAGTGATTTAGCGTAACGTGATAGTACGCAGGCCTAGTCTTGTAAAACAATTCGCTAGAGTTCTCAGTTCGATCCTCATTAACAACTACACTAACGAAGCTCTTTGTCAGACGAAGCTAAACTCAGCGTCTCAAATCGACAGATGAAACTCCTAAAAATTGTTATTCGTGAATGCATTATTTCAGCTTTAGCTGATCTTAATTCGACACAATAAATCGGCTAGGAATATTCTGTTGCGTTCAAAGTCCCCTCTTTTTATTTGGGCTTGACCACCGAAAGAAAGAAAGTAATAAGCGTATTTCACTGCTATGGACTGAGTCAACCACGCAAAGAAACTGTCTAGAATTTCTTTATCTTCTCTTCACTTCAACAGTGTTCCGATAATAGTACATTTTAGAGTTTAATTGGGAAAATTCGCAAAAGGGAATTTGGTCTCTTCATGAACTTTCTCTTGAGAACCGAACACGACATTCGAACATCTGCTGCAGTCATTAAACCAGGAAAGGCTACGTTCCATTTTTACGTCGCATTGTTACAGGTGATGGAAAGTTGTGCGTGTCAAAAGTTGATGAAAACGACAGTTCTTGTCAGAAAATAAGAAACCATTGTCAGTGCCAAAAAAACAGGACTCCATCTACTGAAGTTTTAGCTTGAGTTTGGTGGAATATAAAGTGTGTTGTCTATTATGATCAAATGGAATATGGAAGGACCAACAATGCAGACATTTATTGTTATCATCTTGATCCGTTAAACGAAGCATTACGCAGAAAGTGTCCTGCTTTTGGAACAGAAATGTTATCTTCCAGTATGTTAATACAAGTGGATTTTATGCAAAACACACAGAGGAAAAAATGAGATCGTTACGATTGAAGGTTCTTTCGCTTTCTCAATACTCATCAGATTCAGCACCTACAGATTTTTATTTGTTTAGATTACTAGAATATTTCGTAAGTGGCAGAAGATTCAAAAACAAAGAAGTTGAAAACAGTCTTCTATTGTATTTATCTGGGAAAAATCTAGAATTCTTTAAATGTGGAACAGAAAATTGGCTTTCAATAGTAAATAATATTTAAATAAATTTTTGCTTTTACATTGTTTCTGGTAAGACGTAATTAATTTTCGAAAAGCCTAATATTTAAATAAATTTACATTACAATTATTTTTGCACTCTTTCTGGTAAGACGTAATTAATTTTCGAAAAGCCTAATATTTAAATAAATTTAACAGAATTATTTTGTATTTTGTATTATTTCTGGTAAGATGTAAATACTTTCTAGGCAGCCTAATATTTAAATAAATTCAAATTGAATTTGTTTTTATGTCGTTTCTATTCAAACGTATTTACCCTAATAGATGATAACTCTCTTATCTTAGAACGTTGAATTTTAATTTAGTCGGGAGACACAGTCGTGTACTCAATTCAAATTATCTCTTCTGAAGCAATCTTCAAGAAAAACTTGTATCTTAATTATTCAATTATAATACGAACTTTTCCCACATTTTTGTTATTAGTTGATATGAGCCGAATAAAATTTTAGGAAATGTTAAGTATATGATAAATGTAGCTATTATAAATTCTAAATAAATGTTTTTTTCTCCCCAGAATTTCATAGGCAAACTAAATGGGGGCGTATTATACACAGGTGTATATTGTAAACGAATAATTACAGTAATCATTGTGCTGTTGCTAAGCAACGAATTTATTGCTAGCAATGTCTTCGGGATATGTTTTACTCATTTTAATCGTGTCAGGTGACAATAGGCAAATTTTGGAAGGTACAAAAGGCATCAGGTAATTATCGTTGTCACTAAAGTAGTCGTAGTCTGGAATGGTGTTTCTGACGCTGCTGACCACGGCTTGAATGGTGATTTGGACGACGCGACTGGAGAAAGTCTTGCGAGGCAATCGTCTTTCTCATCAGGATCTAAACCGATTCTTTGTGCATCAGCTCAAGATGAAGATTAGAACTGATAGAAAGCGCTTGCATTCGAAAGTCTTCAGCGAAAGGTGGGTGACTGAGGCGAGCTTGGTTCGTTTGAACGGGGCTAGTCTTGATTTTCTCTTTTAGGTCAACCTACATCAGAGTGGTTTCCTGCGGAATTCTCTCCTTGGTTAGGTTAGACATGCTTTTGTGTACCTAGTTAATGTGAGTAAGTGTTGTTCCTGACCTGCCTTCGGCTAACTCTTTGGTTATGATCCAATTCGAGATCCCCAACCTCCCCAGTTTGTTTTGCCCCCCACTTTCATCTCGACTGGGTCAGCTTTTATATTTACCATGTTCATCTATATTTTCTCCATTTCCCACTCCCTTAGCAAGAGAGCCTCTTGATTTTATCCAATGGGCAGAATACAGCGGCTTCTCTGTTTTGAGGGTTCGACGGGCCCTACTAATATTGGTTATGATTAGTTTAATTTGTGTTCATGTTTAATTTGTTTTTTGGGTTCATTCCCTCTCCTCTCATTTTTCATCATAGAATTTTATATATTATAATTTATTATCATTAAAATTTTATGGCGTGTGGCGCGTTTTGTGCCCCCCCCCTTTGAGAGGATGCGTTATTATAGTGTATGGAGGATTGATTGAGGACGGACGAGTTTTTGTGGGGAATGGGCAAATTGTAATGAGTGAATGGGTGGTGAATCGGATTAGCTAGGTATAGGATAGTTAAGTGTCTACCAGCCTCAACCCCTCCCCCTTTTCGGCCTTGTGCCATAATTGTGTATTTTTATACACAATAAATAACAAAGTAGTCGTAGTCTGTTAGATTTGCTCACTGGTCAGAACTTCGTTTAAAGGTGCCAGGATGTTCACGATAATAGTTTTGCAAAAATAGCAAAATCATTAACTACATCTGTTTGCAAAGTAAATTAAGAAAGGAATTAATATCTGATATCTTATTGAAATAACAAGATTAAACCGTATTTCGAAATATTAATTAAACTTCTAAATAAATCAAATATCTAGATGATATATGGATACTTCAGTTCGACATAAAATAACTTGGAGACATACGATTATTTAAGTTTTTTTTTACGTGATCAAACGCACAAATATACTTTCAGTGTGTCAACATTTATAAGAAGCTTGTCTTAATAAATACTGTTGGCGTTTATTGCTTGTCGACAATAATTTCATTTAATACCAACCCATAAACAGTTCTAAACGTAGCTAAATGTCAGTATAATTTATTGTTTTAGGTTATGTTGCCAGTGGCGCATGAGTTCTTTTTTAATTTATCGGGAGTTTATGATAAATGTGACATCGAATTAGTTTTATTTGCTAATTATTCAAATACCTGCCGATGTCAGCGAACATTTTCGGAATTGAAAGCATTTATTTCCTCTCCAGTTTGAACTTTTTAATTTTTTTTCCGTTGATGCTTCCTTTGATGTTTAAGAAACGTAAACAATCAAACTTTTGTATTCTCGTCCCTTTTCTTTCTGTTTTGATTCTCTTTTTAAAATAATTTTATTTCGTCGCCATTTTATTGGTTTCTTTTCTTCGTAACGCTGAACATTTTAAAACAAAATAATATTCTTATTAAAATAACTTCACAGATGTTCAAGACAAATTAATGACTGGACCGAACGAATCGCTACAAAATGCTCGCCTCAAAAAACAATGGTGGTAAAAAAAAAAAAATCAATATTAAATGTTAATTTAAACAATGATGATAACAGCGATATAAATACAATAACAACAGAAATAAAACTATAACAGCACCATCACAAACAACAACAACAATAATAATAATAATAATAGTGATGATGATGATGATAACCTAACTTAGAATAGAAGACATATCGACTTATCTGAACAAGAAAATTTTTCGGATATTGGCATTCTCTGATCAATAAGACTCAGAGTAAAAATGCGGCGAATAAGATGTTAGGCAAAAAACTCGAATTTGCAAGGTGAGGGGGGTGGTTAAAAGTGTAATGACATGAAAGAGATATATGTAGGTATCACTGGTAATGGTAACATTAGCCATTTCCCTATAAGGAAAAGTTTGGTTTTTATTGATCGAGCAACCATTACTGTTTTCGGTTGAAATTTAAAAAAAAATCTTTTTTTTTTAAAAACCTTTTTTTTTTTCGAAAACAGGTTCCTTAAGTTCAGTAGCTGTTATCGTTCTTTCCAGTATTGATTATAAGTGGGGGAAGCTCCTTTCCAGTTCTGCTGGGGATTTTCCTTCCGAAGCTTCCATTTGAGGAGGTGTGGAATGTTAGCAACATGATTATGTCATTATTTCCTCCTCGTGTTAAATTTATTTTATTTTTTGTTGCTGTTGGTAGTCCTCAAATGATGTGGTTTCTGTTATTTGGAACAGTTCTTTGTGATTCTGTAGCCCCAGTCCCCAATATCCAAAGAAGGATGATCGTTGCCAAGCTCTTCAGGTTTTACTTGCTCAAAGTTTTTCACCATTGATCTTAGGAAATAGCTGTATACAACAGACAGAGTTTTTTTTTTATCTGACAAGGCAAATTAAGAACATAACTTCAGTTTTTAGGTTTATGTTTTGGTCTCATAGCTGTTTTGAGCAAAACTACCTCTGCCACAAGCTATTCTGTGTTCAGTTTATTTTCCTCCTATGCTTAATCTTTTATAGCTGATCCATACATCGAGATATCTGAAGTGTTAAATATTTACTAATTCCACATCCTGAATTTTTATGATGGATTCTGGTTATGTGCTATCACTGCTTTCATTCCAGTTCCAGATCATAGTTTTTATTTTGGAAAAGTTAATCTTGACTCACATTTCTTGGAACACTTGGTTGATGATGTTGATATTCTATTCAAGACCATTCCGATTCCGACTATGAATTCCTATATCATCAGTAAAACCTCCCTCATCATCACCGGAGTGTTTGAAACAGATCCAAATAGACAGAAGTTTTGATATACTGACGAAGAATGAAGAACATCTACGCAATAACAATACTAAACACTAATAAAATGATGAGGAATACGTTGAAATGCTTTGTCAATCAGTGTATACTGTGAAAAA